GAAGGCTGGTGGGTTTACCGGGAGTCAGGCGAGTCGGGTAGAACAGGGGCAGGCAGGGTCGGTAACAGGAGATCAGTCCGTGAGAGCGTGCTGGAGAGTCTGGCATTGAAAAGCGAAGAACAATAGGTCAATATGTGTCTGGGAGGCAGGAGTCGATATAGTGGCTTGATTAGTGATCAGAGACAGGTGAGTGAACAGGTGAAGGGAGTTAGACTGATGAGGAGGGAGTGGCTGATAAGTCGAGTGAGGAGGGTGTGGAGCTGAACTGTGACAATTGTGCTATAGAAGAGACCAGCTGATCTAAACAGCTGATATCATGATTGACAGCTCCAAACAATGACCGCAAGAGTGAGTGAGCATGCGTGAGGAAAGAATAGTTGATGTATGAGAAATAAACTATGGGCTTAGGCATGCAAGACTATAGTCTTCCTGACTGAACTTAAGCTAGAGCTTCACAAAGCTTCCTTTATTTTCAAAATTGGAACGTTAGGTAGTTTCGCAAGTACATAATAAAAAGGCCGTCCTCACTAACGTAATGCTTGTATCGCTCATCTGTGCAAGAAGCTTATTACAAACTTGATCAATGTTTATTGTTGGGCAGGTACCTATAATGATCGTAGTAATTATGATAGGAACAAAGGAGGAAGTCAGGTGATGTAGTATAAAGAGCAACAAAGATGTGTAGGGAGGAGGTTGGGTGGAGGGAAGGGTCAAAAGTTGACTTACGTAAATACTTAATTATATAACATATTTAACTTACGACACCACCCTAACCCTGAGAGCATAATAAATAAGTTATGTAACAAACACACTTATTTAAACCCAAACCATGATCTTTTCCTAAACCCAACTAAGTACTTTTGTTTCCTAAACCTAACCAAGTAGTTGTGTGATATTAACATAACCAATTAGTTGTGTTAACTCAACCTAACCATTTAGTTTGCCTGAACTTAACTAAATGGTATTTGTTGCTTACTCCTAACCAAGTAGTTATGTTGCCTAAACCTAACCAACTGTGTGTTGCCTAAACCTAACTAAGTATTTGCCTAAACCTAACCAAGTTGGTTTTGTTGCCTAAAAATAACCAAGTAGTTAAGTCACCTAAACAAGCACTTGTGTTGCATAAACCTAAACAAACAGTTTTGTTGCCTAAACCTAACCAAGTAGTTATGTTGCCTGAACCTTACCCAGTACTTTTGTTGAATTCACAATGTTAACCGTGTGTTTGAAACGGCAACTGTTTCATATTGTGCGCCTGTCCATGGTCCTCTCCAAAAATAATATACGTGGTTTTGGAAGTCATCTGTAAACAACCTATTCTGTTGTTTAGGTATGAGGATGTGTTGCATAAAACCAAGCTGCTTTTGTAGGCTTCATGTTCTGAGCAAAACATAGACAAGAGATTAAACCTTTACCTTTGGTCAAATGTCAAAGCCATTAAAACATTTTCAAAACAGTTTGAACTCATATTTTTCACAGCAAAGTGATAGTATTTTCTGGCTGGTTCTGTTTGCTGTCTGTCCCCTGCAATACAACCCTGGCTCAGCACTGTCTTGTTTTTGTCATAAACATGTAAATGTTGGCTATTGTTCAGCCCTGTTGCACAATCAGCATGAAATGAGCAGGAGAGATTGAAATAGATAAATCCATTGCTGAGAAATGAGACGAGGGAATGACGGGAATGGAGGAGGAGAAAGAAACAAAAAGAGACACGAAAAATAAATGAGGAAATGTCTGACAGAGAGTGAACCATGTAAATTTCCTAATTTACCTTTATTGATCTCTTCCTCTAATCATGTCATGGGCAAATGCACACACACACACTCACACACACAATGTCTCTCAGGGGTCCCATCAATATTCCTTGCTGAGACACCTCTCAGGCAGTGTGCATCTGGTCTTAATCACGTAGAGGATGAAGTAGGATCAGTCTGAGGTAAAAAGATCATTGGAAATAACTGCTGTCTCTCAGTGCATTAATTAAGACCAACACACACATGAAGGAAACACACACAAACACACACACACCAGACCTTTTAATCAGTGTGACCTTTTGGACTGTGGCGCAACACTACATTGTAAATCTTGTATTGTTCAGCAAAATCAATTGGACGGTGTAATTGAACAATCCACCACATGTTATGGTTCTGGCTGGTACGAAAATGGAATGAAAATCTTTTTTTCCCGTCTTATGTCAGAGCCGGTCCTGACCACCCTCGGGGCCCTAAGCAAAATTCTGCTAATGGGCCCTTATACCTTACCTATGAGCCATGTAAACCATTTGCGATTGCCACATAGTCATACCTGACACCCAAGTGAGTGTATTGCCCTGCTACAATACAATTATTGATGAATGCTATTATTCATTTTAATAATAACATAAGGGCTCATTCAAACTGACTCCCCCATATTTCATTTCATGTTTTTTCAAATATAAAAGGATATCTCTGTGCCCAGCTAATCAGCATTAAATTAAGTATTAAGTAAAACCCATATATTGTCTGGCCTGGTCCCCACAGATGTTGCTCCATGTAAAATGTGATTTTCATTTTGAATATATGATCGCAGTTATCTTGTCTGACCTTCAGTTAATAAATAATATTAAACATTTCCTCTTTTTCTGACTTGAAAGGTATAGTTCTGCTTTATACTCTCTTCCAAGTTCTAAACATTGTAGTTCCCAACGTGTCACATAAAGATGCCCTGTCAGCACACTTTGGCGTCACTTTTTAACGCACAGGGTGACACTCCACTACGGTCATGGTTTAAAACATGTGGTTTACGTTGTGGATTCAAACAGAACTACTTGGTTAGTTTTCAGAAAAGATTGTTGTTGGGGTTAGAATAAGTGTTTATTTTTATGGAAGTTAAGTCATGTAGCCTACAATATGTCAGCGTTGACTTTTGGTTTCACATTGGACTCGACCAGCAGTCGCCTGGGTGAAAGTCATGTTTGTGTGACCCGTCCATCTACTCGGTCCTTCACCCTATGTGGACTTTGTCGCTCCTCATATTACGTCACCTGACCTCCGAAGCAGCTAATATTGCTACTGACGGGCATTCATTGGAGTTACATTGGAGCCAGGTGTGTCTCATACAGGCGCTAAAACGTGCTTTGTGCATCGCTATCAGACACTGAAGGTTGTGTAAAGGATCGGTACACTGAATGAGCCTTCAATAACCCCCACTGTTTGCTTTTTTGGTCTCAAATCAGCTTTAAATTAAACTTTCAAAATTTTAAAGCAATGCAGTTAGATGAGAAGATTAATAACACTTTCATTTGTCCTCGAAATATAACTCAACAGCGAGCTGCCGGTTAGCTTAGCTTAGCATAGAGACTGAAACTCCCCAATTCACTCTTTATAACTCGTTTGTTTAATTCGTTCAATGGTTTTCTCATTTGACTCTCAATGTTTAGCAGCCGAAAATCTATTGCGCCATTTCACCATACCACCATACCGAGTCTGATGTAGTTCCACAAAGACTACAGGGATTTGTTTTTTTCTATTTGACCATCATTTATTTATTTTAATTTTATTTATTAATCTGAAAAACTTCTACGTTATATATGACAGACATATGCGATTAAAAAAATGTGTCAAGAGGCTCATAATTTAAAAACCGGTCGGTTGAAAAATGAATCTGTTTTCTGCTATAGGGTCTGAAAAAAACCTCCCGAATGGAAAACATCAAGACCAGGACTCATAGACAAAATGTCAGCACCTAGTGGCCGTCACAAGACCTGCGCCTTTTGGTTTAGGTTAAAAATTCTGTTTGGGTGCAGCCAATGGGATTATGATCTTGTACAGTCCACATGCCCTAAACTCTCCCCTTCCTGAACTCCACCACCTCACCCCGCCTCCACCTACCTCAATGTTCCCAGACAGATAACAAGAACTCAATGACACCCTCTGGTAAACCTGAACACCACTTCGTGAAGCACAGATTTTTGAGGCGGCAGCTACCGGTTGGAAAATATAGAAAAGCACACACACCAATTGGGATTTATTTTAGGGCCATTTTGCACTTTATTTCATGCTTAACAAAGGTGTCGGATTCAAACACCGATTCAACAGCTCATTTCTCAGGAAAATTTGAATTTGTACATTGTTACAGTGATTTCATAAGAATATTCTTTATAAAAGATGAGTTGTGAAATAATCACTTAAACCCTGACAAGAGACAAATGTTGTTTGTTTGTTGGCCAATATCAGCAAACATGTAGATTCTAAATAGATGTTGTAAACCCCTGAAAGAATATTAAAATGTGAGAAGGCACCATAAGGAACTAATTAGGCCCTATGATAGCATGTCAGTCCAATTTTAGTATGATACATATTTTGGGTGTGCAATAAAAAATGTTTGTGAGTGTTTTGCGCTTTTGGGCTAAACCCTGAACTTGGTTTCCTCTTACTGTCCGTCAAATTCTTCCATGCCGTAGGCACATGAGCGTCTTTAAACTTTCCGGAGATGTGGCAGGGGTTTATTAGCTCTTTTAAAAAACAAACAAGCCGGAGGAAACAAGTGGGTCTCAGGGAGCGGACTTGACTTTTACAGTCTTTCCAGCTCACAGAATGCCCACCGGGAAGAGTATCCAAGCAAACGTTTGCTTGTTCATCCTACAGAAGTAAGAAAATTCAAGAATTTCAGTCATTTAACAAACATGCTTATTTTTGTTGTTGAGCTTCCATATTGTGAGAGATGTACTTAGCTTGAGTAAAAGTACAACAATGTGAAAATATTTTGTGAAAGTAAAAGTCCTGCTTTTCCCTCTCTAATGTAATGGAAATGAAGTATCACAAAATAGAAATACTTCATAAAGTACTTCATACTTGTACTGAAATGTAGTACTTTACTAACTGTGAGTTTCCACTCATAGTGTTAATTTGTGAATCTTTTCGTAACATTTCCGATCATCTGCACAAGAAAACAGAGCATGTGACATGTTTGTGTGTGCTTCATTCCTTTGTACTGAATTATGGCAACAGAGACGAATAAAACACAAGCAACTATGTTTATTTATAGTCAATACGGCAATAGCATCTGAGAAATGCTCATATATATATATAGAGTGACTATATGATCAATATAAGTGTAGTCCCAGCCCCATGTCCTGATCAACAGCCTCATTAAAATGCATAGCCCAACTGGATTTACAAAGCATGTTTTTGTGTATTTCGACGTGGTGTGAATGGATTACATTGAGTGGTTAAAATGAGGCACTCTCCTCTTTTGTACACTGACACATTTATGTTTTTGTCAACAAAATACAGATTGTCACACACATACATTCACATCATTTTCTCATTTATACATATTTACATCACTGATAATTAACAGCCTACGTCTGTTTCTACAAATGTACTTTTTACAAGGGTGTTTGCGTATGATCTATTTACAGTTTTTTCCGCATCTGTGCGCAAACACGGGTTTCTGTTTATGTATCTCCTGCTGTTGATCGGCTAACAATGCTGTGATTGGATACACTTTGGGTCTGTGTATTCCTGATTTGTATGTGTTTTCAATCCCTGTCAGTAAAATCCCCCATGATGCCTGCTGATTGGAGAAATGAGTCTTAAAGCCAAAGCCATGGAACTGCTATTGCTGTGCATGAAAATCATAACTTGATGGATGACATCCCTCTGCGTGTCTTTATGAAAGCCTTGGGTTTCCTCACAATTCCTTTTCAACAACCTAAACCCAAGACTGCTTTTATAATTGCTCAACTGGTGACATTTCTACATTTTTTTCTTATACCTAACAGCCAAAAAGAAAGAAAAACTGATGTGCCAAAATCCATAGAGCAAATGTGTTGCTGAATGTGTTCACCTGTCCTTATCCTTTTAGCCAAGTCAGGCTCAAGCAGAACACCACAGTACGCCTGCGGCACACAAGGTTCCCAACATGCTTGTGCGCAGGTGCATGAACACGGCCACCCAGGCACAAACACACACACACGCCTGATAGACTCTCACACCAGGACATAATCCAGCTGTGGGAGTCGAGGAGCTGTCTGTGTATGTGTCTTTGTGCTGGTGTTTGGCCACAGACATTTGACCCGTATTATTCTGTTTACACTCCACCTGTCCACACTTCATCCCTCTTGTGCCTCATTTCATTAGTTCTGGGGAGATGCAGTGGAGCAGAGTTATTAGAGGACAAATTGTAGGTTTTGAGTCAGACGGAGCAGGAGGATTTGTGTTATGGGAAGTCAAACTGAATTATGCTCTTTTTTCTTCTTCCATTTTGGCTAATCTGTGGTAGAAACTCTGAAAAATGGGAAATTACGAAGGCAACGTTTTCATTTTCCCAGGGAGAAGAGGGTAAACTTAAAGATTCACAGTCTACACTCAACCGGGTGATCAACACAAGTGTGTTGAAAATCTCTCGATCTCTACAGACACCGATCATACACCTACATTTGAGCGGTGAACAAAATAACCTCAAATTCAGCAAATCTGATCGCCCACAGCAAGAAAATATGTACAATTTATACATTCCAAGTTAAGTGTGGAAATTACATAAACAAAACGAAAACAGAATGTATCACATATCTGCAAACCATCAAATGAGTAACACATTTTAAAGAAGGTGAAAAGTATCATGCAGTGCATCAAGACAGGAAATGGAGTAAAATCTGTTTTTTGTCGTCTCTCTACGCCAGAATGGTCACATCCCGCACACCTGTGTCATTTAAGTCATACCATTCAGTGTTGCACTGCATGCTGGGAGACGACTTGGCGGCAGGGCAGAGGAGCGTGCGGAAGTGCCTCCTGAAGGTGTCGGAGAGGCAGGCGTAGAGGATGGGGTTAGCGCAGCTCCACGAGTACGACAGCAGCACCACGAACTCAAAAGCTCTGGCGAAGGGCAGCACCAAGCCGGTTTGGTACAGAGAGCAGAAGTTGAAGGTGTAAAACGGCAGCCAGCACATCCCGAACACCACCACCACTGCGACCACCATTTCGGTGACCTGCCGCTCCAACCGGTGGCTCTCCTGGTTCGCCGGCGGCGCTCGGAGCCGCTGGGCCCTCAGGGTGAGCAGCAGCGCCGCGTAGGAGGCCGTCATGACAGCGAACGGCAAAGCGAACCCCATGACGAAGGTGTAAGACAAGATGCCGAGCCACCAGGCGTCCGAAACGAGGTCTGGAATGCACAGGCCTCGATCGGACGAGAAGTGAAGCGCCATGGGGAGGATAGTTAGGAGCGAGAACAGCCACAGGAATGCCGAGACGATCTTGGCCCAGCGTGGCGTTCTCCAACGGGCAAACCGCAGCGGGTCGGCCAGCGCCATGTAGCGGTCGATGCTCATCGCCGTCAGACAGAAGACGCTGGTGAACTGGTTGATGCCGTCCAGCACCATGACCACTTTGCACACGGTGTCGCCAAACATCCAGTAGTTCTGGAAGTTCTGGCTCGCTATGAAGGGAAGACCAACCATGAAGAGTCCGTCGGCCAGAGCCAGGTTGAATATGTACACGGTCGTGGAAGATGACATTTTGTCCAATTTCAAAATGGCGACAATGACGAGGGAGTTCCCAGCTAGTCCCAGGATGCAAACCACCAAGTAGAGTATGGCCATGGAGATGCCATAGCCATCGATATTGTCCTCTGAGAAATAATGTTCATCCACATATGTCTGATTGTAGTCTATATCTGGTAGAGATAAGGCGTCCATTCTGCCTCAGCCCATCCACTAGTAAAAATAATAACAGTCAGAGGAGTGGCAGCTCAGAGGGACAAAATCTCTGCTTCTGTTCGAATTCCTCTGCAAGCAGCTCAAGAGTCACCTCTCCACTCCCCGTGGTGGGAGTTCAGAGTACTCAGAGGGAGAGAGAAGTAAACAACTCAACCGACAAAACCTGAAAATCAAACACCGTTCTCAGGTTCAGCAACTCTTCAACTGCCCCCCCATCCAGTCAATTGTTAAAAAAGAATAAAAAAGTGTATTCCTTTGTGGTGGGGTAGTCGGCACGCTTCTCTCTGATCCACATGTGCACACACACACTCGCATAAACACACTCTGGGATGCACAACAGTGTGGAAATGAGCAGGACGGCCACTCGCTTGCCTGACCACTCTTTCTCCCTGGGAGCCCTTTTATATGTTTTCCCCCCACAGTGTGCGAGGAGTGTGTCTGCCCCCCCCCCCCCCCCCCCCCCCCCACACACACACTTACAACCCTACTACCTCCCCCTCACCCCTTGTTCATCAGTCTCTGGAGATAAACTCCAGCTTGGCTCACGCCCCTCCTCAGTACTCCCCCAGTTCCTCTGCCGTAATGCTGTTTCCAAGGTAAACCCTGGCCCCATCTGCTGCAATACTTTTGTTTTCATTACTTTTTTCTCCCTCCACTCTTTCTTCTCTCCCCTCTGCTTCTGTTTACTTCACCCCACCTCCCCACCATTCATTTTGTCTCACCACAGTTCACTGGGGGGTCATACAACTAAACATACACACACACACAGATAATAACACTATCTCGTTGCTCCGGCCACCCACCTTTACAACCCAGACTGAGTAAATCTGCCGACAGGAAAGAGAAGTCTGCCGTGTGTTTTTTCAGGGCATTTGTTTTTTTGACATTTGACATGGGATGCTGTTTTTTGCCTCTTCGACTTATTCCGTCCTCCTCCAACCCTACCACCTTGTTTTTGTCACTCCACCAAAGGAAGAGGTGAAACAGGAAAAGCGAAAGGTGAAAAGGAGACAGACGAGAGAGGAGAAAGCCCTTCAGGTAAAAGGGAGGGAATGAGAAGGGTAGATTGGAAAGAGTGAGCGGGGGGGGGGTTTGCAAGATTAAAGACTCTGGATGAGCGATGGCCTCCATCCTGTTGCCGCTCTGACACGCATAGCTGGAATAACCCGGGCACTTCCCCCAGAAAACCTCCAGTGTGTTCCGCCACCCACCATCAACACCGCAAGCAAAGCTCAATCAAAACTAGTCCGTTCTTCACATCACTTCAACACCTATCCAGTGATTGCATCTCATTTCAAAGATCATATCTGAGAGCTCATTCGTAAAGATGCCACAGTTTTCCTCAGAGATATCGCAAGGCATACCTTCACTCTGGCTTTTGACTGGTTCCAATTAACTGGAAAAAATGCCTTTGTAGTCTAAACTGCTGATTAAGTTGCGGCTTAACTTCCCTCTGGAGACTAGCACTTCATACAGGGAGGCCCACCTTCCCAAGCAGACCCCAGACCCCTGTAAAAACATCACTGGAATCACTGTTTCATGGTGCTAAATTCGTAGACGTTTGACAGCTTCGTATTTTACGGGCACTATTTCACTGTGGTGTTCAGACAGACATGCTGTCATCAATATCCAAGTGCAGCAGAGCTGTCGACAACAAAAACACGAGCCAAGTTGATCAAGGCCAAAATCAAGGCTAAGAGAGACAACTTATCAGAAATTAAGCTTTTAAGGAGCACTGTTCGAGACTGCCCGTTCTCTTCTTCCCCTCACAAGGTTTTTACTTCCAGTGTCCGCTTCCAACGCAACTCCTTTAGAGTGAACACCGTAACCACATGTTATACTTAAGAAGTAGATGCTTACTCTTGTCTTGCAGAGACCAGATAAGCATGATAGGCTATGATGACCGCCTGAAACTCAAAATGTAAACGTAAACCATACAACAAGTCTACCACCCGCTTTGAATGATATCAGGCGATTGAGTGGGCATCATCAGCGTTTATCAGCCTCATAGATATAGGTTAGCATAGCTTCCATTTCACAAGGTGGTTGGTGCAGTTTGGGTTGGGGTTAGGGTTAGTCCGAAGCACTAAAATGATAGTGATAACAACTGATAATGCCCATTCTATTGGCTGATGACATTCAAAATGGGTGCATCTACATCCATGCTAGCAGCTCTGTGAGGCTGTGTATACAGTAGGTACACTGGTGCATTGACTATATGTTAACATCAGCATGCTAACATACTCACAGTGACAATGCTGACGTTCAGCAGGATTAATGTTTACCATGTTCATGCTCTTAGTTTTGCGTGTTAGCGTACAAACACTTTTTAAATAGCGCTAAACACAAAGTAAAGCTGAAGCTAGTTTTGGACGTAATAAGTATTGACAAATTTAAATCATAATGTACTGTATAAATATTATAATAACCCGCTGATGGTGCTAGATGGAAAATCAGGAAGTTTCACGGCAAATCTAAAACTAATTAGCAAGATATGTTATTGAAAGCCAAAAATATCCACCTCATCGTGGTGCTAGGTGGGCTCACCAAAGTCATTAGGATACACCCTCTGGACACCATAGCTGTCGATCTGAATTTTGTGCAAATCTATTTGGTAGATGTTAAGCTATTTCGATGAATAATTAAAAATATATCTGCTAGTAAGGCTAAAGTAAAATTCAGAGGATAACTAAAGGATTCATCCTCAAGGGACCATGAACATCTGTGGCAAATTTCACGGCAAGCCATTCCATTCTTGTCAAGACATTTCACCAAAAAAATAAATAAAATGCCAGCCACATAATGGCTCTAGACGAAAAGTCTCTAAGATTCACCCTCTAGGAATCATGAATGTCTGTAAAAATGATGCACCACTCTATCTCATAGGTGTCAAGCTTTTTCACTGATTAAGAATTTTGATCTGCTGGTGTTTCTAGAGTAAAAGTCACAGTATCACCAAAGTCATTAGGATTAATCCTCAAGGGACCTTGCATATTTGTCAATATGTTTCAATCTGAACCGCTATGTCAATCATACTACAGGTTTCATCAAAGGATCGCTAACGTCTATTGTGCTCATCCTGTGGGGACCATGAATATCTGTACCAAATTTCATGGCAATCGATTCAATGGCTTTTAACAGGCTGACATTTCTACCCATAGAGCCATGCTGCTCGAGTGAATAAAAAAAAAGAAGCCGTAACTGAAACACAGAGACCATCTGCAGCTTGCATGCAATAATAGAATTCCAGTAAAATATGAATCAGACACACAAATTGTTTTCTGCATACTTGGAAGTGAGAGAAATCCACAGAAGGAATCTGCAAACTCCACGTCATACTGTCTTGTTAATTGTTTCTGGGTATCAGCTTATTTTCATCTTTTTGTTTCCCAGCAACAGTGCCTATAAACCCGGAGTACTCATGAGTAATACAAATCTGCAATTGCAACACAGAAAATGTCAAATATTTAAGGGAATGTTTGCAGAGCAATGATCCCAACTGCACTGCAACATCTGTGTTTCATTAATAAAATACAAAAAGGCTGTCATTGCATCATCTAAATGCATTAGTGGATGGATTTATTGTATCCAAGGTGGCATATTAACATATTTCCTAATGGTTGGTGATTTCAAGTATTTTAAGACATCTAATGGAAAACATATACTTAAAAACGCATTAACACCATAAAAAAGATAAAGGGTTGATGCACTCTACCACTTTTTTATCTTCCATCTAAATTTTTCCTTGGTGGTGTATTCCTGGTATTATGATGATGATGCATCAGAGGTAAACATCAGTCTGTTTTTCCGAATCAAAGAGTCACTGCTTCCTTCTTGAGCCACCATTATGCACAGCCTGTCAATAATCCTGCAAGCACAGAAATCCATTAAAGGAAAGGCAGAAAGACCAGTTTATCCCCAGAGAGATCTTGCAATAGATCCATAAGATATATGTTGCATATATATTGGTCAACTTGTCTCAGGACTAAATACATAAAAAGATACAGTGTCTTGTAACCTGTAAACCAGAAATGGACATGTGTCCAAATGTGTCCACATATTCAGGCAGCCATTGGCTTTCTATGAACCATTGAGTCTTGAAGTTTGCTGGATTGGACAATGTATGTGTTTGGAAGGTTGGTTATGATGAAAATACAATTTTGAATTCATATAGCCATCAGTGTGACAGCATAATTGCTGCAGTAAGTTTTGATTATGCAAGAATTCGGAAGTATCGGACACAAAAAAATTCAGTGCTTGAATCAGTTACTGATGATCGGTCTGTGAGTCAAAGGTCAACATGCCTAGGAATTACCAGCAGCAATCTGGGAAACCTTCACTGGGAAGAGGAAATTCCACAGCAACATCCCCAGAATCTGTTTCTTGTCAGCCAGCAGAAAGTCCACACATGTGCCACACAAATGTTAAATGTTACGTAATCAAAGTGGTAAGTATTGTTGAGAACGTGTACTTAAAGTATGATTAATGCAGAAAAATGCCCCTGGTGTTATACAATTCAATATTATATTAAGGGGTGTGTAATGTGTAAGTAGCATTTCAATATTGTAGCTGGTCACGGTAGAGCTAATTCTATCTTTTGTATACAGTACTGTGGGTAAGTTTTATCTACAAGAATGTAGCATATTCTATAAACTGATGATATGTTTTATATGTGGAAACTTAATTTGTAAAGCTGTCGAATAAATGTAGTGGATTAAATAGAACAATGTTTCGCTCTGAATTGTGGCAGCAAATAAAGACTCTAAAGTAAAGTACAAGTTTCTCAAAGTTGTATTTAAACACAGTATATTCCACCACTGTCCAAACCAGGCTTACACATGCACCACTCTCCCCACAGACCTGTTCATTAGAATATGACACTACTTGTTGCATTATACTGTGTTGGTTTGCCGTCTTTTCTCCTGTTTCAGATTCGATTTGATTTAATCTCTGATAAGACATTAACATGTTCTTGCAGTGAAATGTTCTTGCATCATGTTTGCTCATATGTAAAAAAAAAGAAAAACAATAGAACTGAACTTCATCAGTTTACCAAACTCCTCTGTGCCGTTTTTCATCATATTTAAATATTCCCACCCACTGCTGCTTCTGCTTCTTCTGTCAAAGCGATTGACCAATAGGCTGCGAGGAGAGGCGGGGCTTTTCCCTGTCACAGACACGTGTACCGGGAAGTAGGAAGTAAATACGGAGGCGGTGAGGTCCCACTGGAAAGAAGTAAGTAAACCTGAAACAAATGCCGAAAATGACCGTTAACATAAAACAGAGGTCAAAATTAAACTTTGCCGAATTAATGCGTGTAGTATAATGACACCGCATATAGAGTTTGAGTGAAATGTAATGGCGTTATTTTATAGTATACAGCGAGCAAACATTTAAAGTTAGCCGGTTGGCTCTCATTTACCTGCATATATTGTGTAGTGTGTGTGTGTGTGTGTGTGTGTGTGTTTGTAACGAAGACTAGTTAAACAAAACACATTGATGACGCCACATTAAAGACGTTTATGCAGCAATAAAAAAACACATACACTACATATGCACAAACAAATGCATGTAACTTCTCATTCAAAGTCATTCGGCATTTCTAAGATGCATATTAATATTCAAGTAATTTTTACCATATGGAGCAGCTCTCATTGATGCTGTGTGGTAAATATTAGTGCTCATGAAAATGTCATTTGATGATGAAAGGAGAATAGTTCCTACTGCTTACAGCTCAGATTGATGAATATTTCCAGTAGTCGTAACTCGCATGTATATTTATTGCATGTGAATGTGAAAAGCTACTTTAAAGTGAGACCATGTCGCTTTGGAAAGAATAAGTAACACATTGTTCTTCAGACTGTATAAGACTTATCTTTTCTCATTTCAGCACTGGCAGGTTTTTTTTTTGCTGTTCAGTCTTCATGACCTGGTATGACCAGAAGCTAGTGGTGGCTAATGTTAGATAATGTTAGCAAACTTTATGTAGATATTGCTCAATATCGGTCGTAACTCAGAACGTTTGATGACTTGATGACTCGTCTCTTCTTGTGCCACTGTTGCATGTTTGAACATTTTAATGTTATACAGTAATAGTCAGTTGTGATCACAGTGGCCACTTTGTTTCTATAAATATAACCTCTGAACTGATAATAAATAGTTGAACAATACAAAGTGACGCTCCTAGTATTCACAGCACCTACCGTACACAGATGCAGAATGAGCTCCAGGATCCTAGAGTCCTCGTAAAACAGGATTTGACTCTCTCACTGGTTGAGTTTGTCAGTATGTCAGGCTAGTAATGCCAGCGCTTAAAGGCACACATTTATGATGAGTCAGCCTTAGCACATCCAGCCCTTCTGTGGGATCAGTTGTTTGTTCTCTTGTCATTGTTGCCTACACTTTGGCGTCGAAGATATGAACATCCTAAAAGTGTTACAGTTATATTGCTCTCTCGTGTCAATGACGTCTCCTAGACGGGGACAATATTTACCAGATTCTCGTAGTAGTAGGCTTATTTAGAGGCAGGGCAGTTACTGGAAGATTTCAACTCCACATGTTTTGTTCCCCTCCAGTTCTCAAAGTCTTACCCGGAGAGATAAGAACGAGAGATCGCCTTCCACGTCTTGGGATCAGTTTGAGTTGAAGTGTGTTGTTTGTCCAGGTCTGGCACCATGCTGGAAGGATACAGCCCCGTGACCCAGGCCCTGCTGGGGACTCTGTTCACCTGGGCTCTGACCGCTGCCGGAGCAGCCCTGGTGTTTGTCTTCTCCAGCCGACAGGTATTGCATGAACCCAGAACACACAGACACATGGAGCTTAAATTAACACTTTACACATTGTTTTTATGGAATAGTTGGCATCTTGGTAAATAAAGTTAGCCCCTATCTTGGAAAGAGTTCGATGAGTTAATACCACTCCCACATCTGTATGGCAAGTATGTAGCTGGAGCCAGCAGCTGGTTAGCCTAGCTTAGCATAAAGGCTGGAGACGGGGAAACGTCTTGGTTGGCTCTGTCCAAAAGTAAAACAAACAAAAATAAATGTCTTTTGTTTGTTGTCTGGATTAAACATGTTGATGAGTTAGCTCTAGAGGTGCTGGTAGGTGCAGTTTGTTACCTTTGGACAGAGCCAGTCTAGCTGTTTCACTCATGCTAAGCTAAGTCAAATGTCTTCTGGTTACAACATCGTGTTTAGATGTTTTTGAAGGAAATGTATGAGGGAAACCTATCTTGACCCTGAATACGTTTGCAGTTTTAAACACCTGATTAATGCTGTAATTAAAACAAAACAAAATGCAACAAAACTACTTGGTTAGGTTTAGTAAAACCTCATGGTTTGGCTCAAAATACATATGTTTCTTTACGTTATTTAAGTTACGGCCGTGAAAGAAAGTAAATCAACGTTTCACGTGGCACACGGACAGCGGTCTCCTGTGTTGGTTGGTTCTTTACGCGGACTATGATTAGAAATGTATTTGTGACACGTCAAAAAACAAACGTAACCCGGGAGACAATACGTTTCCCACTAAACGCAATTGAAGTTGCAGTTTAGTTGTATGGGAACGTCATTTTTAAGAAAGCCAGCCTCACACAGGCACAGTCTTGAGTGTTTTCAGGATTTCAGGATTGATTTAAACAGTGTTTCGGTTCCCTTTCACGCGAGTCAAGTCAAACGTCTATACACAAAACTCATTAGATAAATCAGTAATTAAAAAAAAAAAGTTTAAAAAAAGAGCACATAAATGATATTGTATGACATTAAAGTGAAGATAAAATGTTTCCAAATGTTCTAAGTCATTCAGCTGCTGTTGCCAAGAGCTGAGGATTTCCAATATAACTGCTAAACTCACAGTAAATGACATGAAGCCCCTCTATTGACACACTGCTTTTGCTCGTAGATTTTTAATTTTTTTTTCAATCTCCGGGCCTCTGACTCTCGGGACATTGTTGCATTTTTGCCAGTGAAGTCAACAGAAAGAGGTTTGAGGATATTGGTTTGACGGACTCACACAATCGCTCTTCTTGTTTGCCCTTTACAGAAGCGCATCTTGGATGGAAGTTTAGGCTTTGCAGCTGGGGTGAGTTAGTTTTCTTTTGAACAGAGCCTCACACACACAGACACACACACACACACACACACACACACACACACACACACACACACA